TCAATTCGATTCAGTTTATAACAACCCTACCTTAGGTGTCTGAGGCCGTATCTCTACAGAAGTAGATTGCCCAGTCGGCCTTCCGAGGAATAGCTGGTGGGTTTGAACTGCCAGCCTTCTAGTTAGCAGTCAAATGCCTTAGGCACTACGCTACCAGAGGTCAAAGAGAATTGAATTAGCCTGATGTTATTTTGAGGCATAGAACAAATTCCCTGATGGTAAGGGAATCTTTTTATTGTGTGTGCCTAGCATCTGGCCTAGAAACTTCATAAAAACTTTGTTGAAATGAACAAAATGGTATTGTGCTTATTGCAGTAATATAACTTTAGCTACATTGTCTTGGAATCTGCAGTGAGAGCTAGGATTGCAAATTTGTTCAGTGACTAATAGTTTACTTTCCTTACAGAGGGGTTAACCTTTTGTAAAGACACTAATTAGAATATATTTTAATTAAAATACAGGAAAATTAATTTTTGAGAATATATAAATTTCCTGACAAGCTTTGAGAAATTATTGGCCCCATCCCTAATGCAATTTTGAGAATCAGATCTTAAGGATAGAATTGCTACAAAAAAATTCAAAATGCATAGAAAATTTTGTATAGAGTATTTGTTTGATGTCATGCATTCCATCAAGTGCAGATGTCCATAAATCTCCCTGTGTTTTACCAGGTTGAGGACTATTTCATATTTTCTGTATCTCTTATCAATAAAACTTCTCTCTACTTATTATATTTAGAACTGCAAAATCTGAAATGTATTTGGAGATAGCTTTTCATATCTATTATAGATTTTATATATTTAGAGTGTCAGCATAGTGTAATAATTAATAACATGATCTGACTTGAATCAGGGTCTGACACTTGCTATGTATCCATGGAAAAGTTAAGTCAACCTTTGTGCCTCAGTTTCCTCATATATAAACTAGAAATAATAACTTGCTTAATAAGGTTATTATAAAGATTAAATTAGTTAAAATATATTAATAATTTAGACTAGTGCCTGACATATAATAAGTATATACTTATATACATAATTATTATTTTTATTGTTATTGCCATTGTTAGCAATTAACACTTACTATTAATCACTGAGTTCATATAGTGGGTTCAGCATATTATATGTTCTTATGGAGGATTACATGTAACCATGAGTGATTTGCTTTTACATTTAGCAAAAAATGCATTTTAGGAATGAACTATGACATATTATTGTTTCATCTCTTTTAGCTTTTGGTATCACAGCTTCTACACCTGTGGGGAAGAGAGGACTTCCTGGCTCACGTAGATAGGTAATGAATCATTTGTTAAAATGCTTATGAACAGCATAGGAGCCAGTGAACACAGTGCCCAACACAGAGAGTATTCATTTACTGCTCTTCCTTCCTAGTATCCCAAGATGGACAATAGGAACAGTCTGTTAGAACCAAAAAACCTTTACACTTTATTAGCTTTTCGCCTAGTACGTCTTCTCAAGAACGTCAAAGTTGGGGTGGAAGATGTGTGGTTTGAAAGATGTGCAGTCCCCGCCTGCACTGAGATATCTGAAATTCTCACCAGATTAGAATTTATTTATTTAGGTAGTTTCAAGGATATGCACATTGATATATATTTTATTTAATAATCAGTTAACTGTGAGGGACACATGACACAAGAATTGGCTCAAGTATAGATAGTGAGGACACAGTTGGCCTAAATCCTCCGTGTAATTGGTGCAAGCTAGTAAACATGGTCCTTCCTAGGTCATTTTGAAATAAGGAAAAACAGAGTATTCTCATGCTCACAGCAGTGATTCATCATTTCAACAGCATTTTCTTTGATCCTGAGAGTTCTCCTACTCTGAAAATGACAATGATCATCTTGGAGATGTGAAACAAAAACATGGATCCTGCTATTTCTGTTAGAACTGTGTTTTAAGTTACACATTTTACTTAGAAATGGACTTTGTTTTATTTGTTTTCATTTTTTTTAAGCCATTTCACAATAAAGGAAAAAAAGAGCAATTATAAAAAATTTACCACTAGCCAAGGCAAATAAATATGCTTTTATCAAGCTTTCAACATTTTAACCAATACAGAAAACAGAGTCTTATAAATTGGACCCCAGACCTGCAGTTAATATACTAAAGGCATCCTTTTCATTGTTTTCCTCTTCTAGAGTTACTGATTTCTATAAGAACCAGAGGGATATGTTATTGGCAGCTGCAGACAAATGGTTAAGTGGTGAGTGGAACACACATACTATCCCTCTCATAAGCATATGAGAGGTGGTAAACACTGCATCATATTGTAAATAGTCCCAATGAAAAAGAAACAAGAGTTCAGGAATGTTCTTGCCAAGAAAATGTTATCCAACAAATGATCTCAGAAATAACAGACTTCAAACCCTGGCACAGGTCTGAAAACCTCTGTTTTACTCAACTCCTGCAAAGAATTTGTGGTTAAAAATAAATTAATTAGTCTAAAAATCAACCAGCAATAACTTAATTAAAGAGAAATAATGTCTATACAAGGAGCTCTGGTGGTGCAGTGATTAAGGCATTCGGCTGCTAAGCAAAAGGTCAGTGGTTCAAACCCCCCAGAGAAAGATTAGCAGTCTGCAATCAAAAAGATTTATAGCATTGGAAACCCTGTGGGGCATTTCTGCTCTGTCCTATATAGTCACTATTAGTCAGAATCAACTCAATAGCAGTGAGTTTGGGTTTTAGGATTATTTCAAAATTTTGCCTCGAATAGAAGAATTTTCAAACAAGCAGTATACTCCTTTACAAACTGGACTATATAAAGACAAAATAGGACAATTGAAGGTAAACTTTCCCTCTAAGCATTCACCTCATTTATTTTTCTGATATTATCTATTGCTAATTTGATTGCAGAATGGATTAGATTTAATTTTCTGTTACAGAAGAAACTCAAATGAATTACATAGCTTTAATGATATAAAAAGCACTTTTGGTATGAATAATGTTGTGTTAATAATAGTAAACCAAAAATATCAACTCCTTATTAGTATCATCTTTTTTACCACTTTGAGTAATGTTGAAGAGAAAGTTTTAATCAACAGCAAGTTTTCTTTTTAAAAATGATAGTAATTGGGGGAGTTCCAGCAAGATTGCAGACTAGGCAGAAGGACTGCACAGACCCTCTTCAACAAAGAAAAGGGAAACCAATTAACACAGACACAGAAGATAATCTTGGACCCCTGAGCCTTGAAGGGAA